CTGAAATACGCTGACCTGGCCAAATCGTACGGAGATGCTTACAAACTGGAGTTGACTGGCAAAGAGAACTTTGAGGTTAGTGAGCTTAATTTTCTGTACACGCCATTCTAAAACACATGTTTGCAGGACTACATTAGCAAGGTCGGAGAAACAAAGCAAACGGGTATTAACCCGCATTATCTGGTGGGCGCCTCTTTTTCCAACTCGAAAATAATTGCCTGGCTGAACAACCAGGCCTATCACGCAGCTCCATTAGCCCTTAACATGGTCCACAACGCTATGGCCAAGGCACTTGTGGGTCCACAGGTGCAGATCGGGGTCACCAATGCACCTCTACACTACCCTCCACCCCCCAATTCTGAGAAGAGCATCGTATTAATTATGGCCGTTTTGGTTTCCCTAAGTCTGTACTTCAGCATGTGTTTTGTTAGTTCGATGTATATTCTGTTCCCAATAAGGGAGCGTGGGTCCAGGGCCAAGTTGCTGCAGTTTGTCGGTGGCGTAAAATTGTGGATCTTCTGGACATCGCAATTTATTTGCGACTTTGCCTCCAACCTTGTGACGGCCATGATCGTTATTGTCGCGATCCTTTGTTTCCAGGTGCCAGGTCTGGGTTTCAGCGAACTGAGCTGCTTCTTCGTTCTGCTGCTGTTCTATGGATTCTCCGTGGTGCCCTTCATCTACACAATGTCGTTGGTCATTCGGGAACCAGTCACTGGATTTGCGCGCACAGCAATTATCAATATATTTTTTGGTTTTGCACTGGTTGTTGCGTTTTTGGTAGTGGCTAAAATGAAGGGATCGTATGAAAATGCTCTTTTCTTGTATTGGACCTTCCACATTTTCCCGCAGTTTGCACTTGGAATGGGGTTAGCAAATATTATTACAAACATGGCCAATAGAGCTATTTATAGTTTCTCTCTTGGAATTCCATACACCAAGCTCTGCGATACTAATCCAAAATACTGCGGTGAGTACTTATGTAACCTTTCATTAAAAAACTTGTTATTCAAAGAAATCAATCTTCTATTAATGGTATTATGCTTGAACGAATATATTAGAGGGGGATGAGGGTGTAAAGCTATCAATATGTTTTTACAAGCACAGAGTTTTCGCAAGCCAAATTTATTTTAAACATGAAAGGAAGCTAGCTTTGGTTAGCCGAAGCTTACAGATAAAATCAATACAGATCACACAAAAAAAATCGATGTATATTTATACCTATCGAAATGTAGAAGACATTTTTCAAATCGGACCATTCATTAAAAAGTTATACGCAATCAAAATTGTTTATATATCTATCTCCCTCGCACTCCCTTTAGCTGAGTTACGATTATTAGATAGTCGGGACATCAACCCGAGTACAGCGTTCTCTCTTGTTTAAGTTAAAAACGATATGAGTATGCATATCCTGAAATTGATATGACGTGATTTTTTTTGTGTATTTAGTTTAGTGCTCACTCGATCGGTGCAGTTCCAGGGGTTCCAGACATGCTATTGCCTATTTAAAATGTGGTTTCCAAGTTGTCAAAAATCAAAACGCCTTCTTCCTACAAAGTCACAATGAATTTTCTTATATTTCTTTGATTATTCCTTTGGGAGCCTTAAGATATAGTGGTCCGATCCGGCTCACTCCGCAATTTTATCGTGTTTATCAATATTTATCGAAATGTAGAAGAAATTTTTCTAATCGCACCATTCGTTAAAAAGTTATGCATGTTGAAATATCTCCATCACCCTCGCACTCTCTTTAACAGGTATCTGATAGTCGGGGCACCTGACTATAGCGTCCTCTCTTGTTTTGTATTTCTTTGATGCACTGTATGTTTAACAGTCAAGTTTGATATGATTGATGATTATTACAATTCCCAGAATCGTTTTTTTCCTGGAATTATTTCGGTATATCATACCAGTTGATCAGCATGACCGCTACCGGAATTTTCTTCTTCCTCATTCTTTTTCTGGTGGAGTTCCGAGTGATCCCGGTACTAATGTTCAAGATTCGACAAAAGCTGACGTGAGTACTTGTGGCTCCCGGTTAATATATTTACGTCATACCTATTGCTGTTTTCTTTGGGCAGTAAAATGTCTTCCCCATCGACCGATAACTACGTAGATGACGACGTGGATCAGGAGCGTAAGCGCATCCTTCACATGACTGCCGATGAGAGGGCCTCCAAGAATCTGGTGCTGGATCGGGTCACCAAGAACTACGGTCAGTTCCGAGCCGTTGATCAGGTGTCGCTCTGCGTAAGGGAGTAAGTTCAAATATTCCATAGTATTGTTGAGTATTTTTAAAACAATTCTAAATTTTAAACCCATCGCAGAACCGAATGCTTTGGCCTGCTGGGTGTGAACGGAGCCGGAAAAACGACCACTTTCAAGATGATGACCGGCGAAGAGTGGATCAGCTCGGGAGCCGCGTACGTCCAAGGTCAGATCCTGGGCTGGAACATGAGCGGGATATACAAGTTGATCGGCTACTGTCCGCAGTTCGATGCATTGCCGACAGGACTGACGGGTCGCGAGGTGCTGCGAGTTTTCTGCCTGCTTTGCGGAGTTCCCGGGGAGGACATTAGGCGAGTTATCGAGGATCTGGCCAAATCTTTCGGGTTCGTGAAGCACTTAGACAAACGGACAGAAGCCTTTAGTGGAGGAAATAAGCGAAAGCTGAGCACGGCCATCGCATTGATCGGCAGTCCGTCCGTGATTTACCTAGATGAGCCCACATCCGGCATGGATCCAGCGGCCAGGCGACAGCTATGGAATGTGGTCAGCCGCATCCGGGAGTCTGGAAAATCCATCGTCCTGACCTCCCACAGCATGGAGGAGTGTGAGGCCCTGTGCACCCGACTGGCCATTATGGTGAATGGAGAGTTCAAGTGCCTCGGATCCACGCAGCACCTAAAGAACAAGTTCTCCAAGGGACTGATCCTCAAGATCAAGTTGCGACGTGACCTGAAGGACGTGGGTCGGAGGGAAGGAGATATCTTTGCCGTGAAGGCGTTTGTAAGAGAAAAGTATCCTGACTCCATTCTCCGGTAAGGACTTGATATTTTCTTTATTCATTTATTAATACTTTTTCTACTAGGGATGATACCGTGGGTCTGCTAACCTTTTACATTCCATTGACTGGGGTGAAATGGTCACGCATCTTTGGAACGATGGAGAGGAATCGCAAGCAGCTGAATGTGGAGGATTACTCGGTCAGCCAGACCACTCTGGAGGAGATCTTTTTGGAGTTTGCCAAGAACCAGCGCGAGGAATCTAGTGCAGTTAATAAAGCCAACTAGCTTCTCTCTTCACCGCCTTGCACCGATAGCAGTAACTTGCTCAAAAATTCAATTCAATTAATAACATTTAAGATTTATCTGATGAATAATCCATTACGTGAATTTTTTAAAGCAAAATTTTATAATTTTTTACAACATTATTTTAAATATTTAAAGTAACAATTAAAGCAAAAATTGCAATTTTATTGAATCATCTTTTTCTGCACCTACCGTTTTAAGCTGTCTAGAATCATAAAAAAGTTAAACCGCGCTCACAAGCAAAAATCCCTACTGTCACTGCGTTGTGAACATCTAACTATTGTATTGGTAATTCTAACTATATGATTTCTATCCCCCTTATTACTGGTCGGTTACTTTGCCAGTGATTGGGATCTCACCAATATATTTGAAGACATTAGCATTATAAGATTCTAATTGATTACGAATTACGAATTAAGCCAATTGACGCATACAAATGTGTGGGATTGCCACATCTCATCGAGAATGAAAAACCACGCAATTACCTTAACTTCCTTCCAGTTGCACGTGCATGGAGTCACCAGAGTTGCCGAAAACAATACCAAGTTCCCGCTCTCGAAGCGTTCACCTTCGTAATCGTAATCATAATTGTCAAGCTCCGTCATTTCGCAGTCAGCTGCCCTTGAGGCATAAAGCTCTTCTGTTGAAGTATACACCCTAAATACTATCCACTAATTTGTATAGCCGACACTATCGGCTAATATGTCGGTGCCAAAGCAGTTGCTGGAACACTATGAAAAAAAGGCGTTTTGCTGTGTTCACTTTTTTTACATTTCGCTTAAGAATTATTTTTTTAATTTTGAGAATTTTTTTCGATATTCCAAAGGCAAAAATGCGTTTTTCACCTAAAAAATTTGACTTTCGACTTAAAAAAACCATATTTAAAGTTAAACAAGAGAGAACGGTATAGTCGGGTTGGTGTCCCGACTATTTAATACCCGTCACTCAGCTAAAGGGAGTGCGAACGTTGTACTCGGGTTGGTATATACTATATATATACCACAGTGGCGGATCTAGGATTTTGTTGTGGGGGGTGATATAAGAACAATTTTTTTGTTGCACACTTTTGGAATACCAAAATTCCTTTCATTTTTCATCCGAGTGGGCGGTGATATATCTCCCATATCACCCCCCGTGGATCCGGGCATGATAACCAACTATAATCGTAACTCAGCTAAAGGGAGTGCGAGGAAGATATATATATATAGATATTTAGATTGCGTATAACTTTTTAATGAATGGTCCGATTTGAAAAATGTCTTCTACACATCGAAATTGCATTTATACTTCTTGGAAATCTTTAAAGATGTGGCCGGAGGACCCATTTTAAAATCGTTAGTGGCTGAAATAAACTTGCGCTAATCTTTATCTTCACCAAACAACAACTTCAAGTTTTGTATAAAAATATATATTTAATTCCTTTACTTACATTAGAATAGCTTTATCATTTGATTATTTTTTTGGGTTATTTTTCGCTCATGCATTTACAACAACAGGTACTTAGGGCTACGAGGAATTGAGGAAGCGTAATGGACGAAAGACAGCGAGAAGAGAAAGAAGAATGGGCACATATAGATGTCGAAGGATGTGGGGAGAGACAATGGTCGTATGTATGTAGTTCTAGAAGGACTTAAAACTAGGTATTCCTATAAGTTCGAGGGATCTAGCTAATGTGTCTGTGAGTCGTCTCTAGTACCGGTAACCGCTGCCATCGTTGTCGCCGTTCTGTCCACCGGGTCCAAAGCCATTCCTGCCGCCCTGACCCGGCCTGCCGCTCGAGTATCCCTGGCCATCCTGGTTATCCTGTCCATTGGGACCGCCTGGCCGACCGCCCGGACGACCGCTGGAGTAGCCATCACGGCCCAGATCCTGTCCGCCAGGACGTCCGCCGGAGTAGCCCTGGTCACCCTGGCCATCCTGTCCGCCGATCACACGTCCACCGATGATCACACGACCGCCATCGGGTCCACCACCTCCGTTGCCGTTGCCATTGCCATTACCGCCCGGCCTGCCATTGGAGTAGCCACCTGCGCCTAGGTCCTGGCCACCTGGACGTCCACCGGAGTAACCGTCGCGACCCAAGTCCTGACCTCCTGGGCGACCACCGGAGTAACCATCGCGACCCAAGTCCTGACCTCCTGGGCGACCACCGGAGTAACCGTTGGGTCCCAAGTCCTGACCACCTGGGCGACCACCAGAGTAGCCATCGCGACCCAGATCCTGACCACCAGGACGTCCGCCGGAGTAGCCGCCATTACCGTTGCCATTGCCTCCATTACCGCCCGGCCTGCCATTGGAGTAGCCACCTGCGCCTAGATCCTGACCACCTGGACGTCCGCCGGAGTAGCCATCGGGACCCAGATTCTGGCCGCCAGGACCGCTGGCACCACTGCCATCGTTGGCATCGCCCTCGTAGCGGATCTGCGGCCTGTAGCCCTGCTGATCGGCCTCGTACTCCACGATCTAGGGAAGACAGAGATAGAGAGACACCAATGTTAGCCGTGACAGGAGGAGGTGGAGTGGGTGCAGTGGGTGGGTCCACGTCGACTCCTGTTGCCCGCCGCCGCCGCCTTCGCCGCTTACTTGCTTCCTTCCGTCGGGCAAGAGGACATTGTACTGGCCGGTGGTGAAGTCACCGTCGCGCATCTCTGAGTGCCCGAACGAGAGACCGCTGGGCGCGTCCTCGACCTGGTAATTAAATTCGTACTTGGCGGGCTCCTAAACGCCGGAGAACGGATCATGGAGCATGGAGCATGGACAGCGGATCATGGAGAATGGAGAGCGGATTGGAGATTGGGGCGTGTGGAGAAAGAGAGAAACACAGAGATAGAGTGGCTAGGATCAAGAGTTCAGATTTCTGGGATACTGGGATACAAGCTTTAAGCGCCGATTCGGCGGTGCAGGTGAGCGAGGACGAGTCTACCAAAGATTTGCATGGGCAAGTGTGCAGCGGTGTGGGCGGTGGGGCGGTGTTCCCAATTGGTCTGTGCCACCCAGTGATCCCCCATTAACAGATCCCATAATCCAGTTCCCAAAACCACCAGCTACTCACATCGTTTTCGTAGTCAGAGCCGCCGGGTCCACTGCCTCCGGCGCCACCAGCGCCTCCAGATCCCGAGGCTGGGGGTCCGTAGGAGTCGGAGGGTCGACCGCCAGGACCTGATCCTGGTGCTCCATAGCTGCTCGAAGGACGTCCGCCGTTGCCGTTGCCATTACCAGGGGCGCCATAGGAATCTGAGGGCTTTTGGCCCTGACCAGGAGCACCGTAAGAGTCCGAAGGGCGTCCGCCAAGACCACCTTGACCTTGACCAGGAGCGCCGTAACTACTGGAAGGACGACCGCCGTTTCCATTGCCGTTTCCGCCACCAGGAGCGCCATAGGAGTCCGAGGGACGACCACCATTACCGTTTCCGCCACCAGGAGCGCCATAAGTGTCCGAAGGACGACCGCCATTGCCGCCACCAGGAGCGCCGTAGCTACTGGAAGGACGACCGCCGTTTCCGTTGCCACCAGGAGCGCCATAAGTGTCCGAGGGACGTCCACCATTACCGTTTCCGCCACCAGGAGCACCGTAACTGCTCGAAGGACGTCCGCCGTTGCCGTTTCCGCCACCAGGAGCACCATAAGTGTCGGAGGGACGACCGCCGTTTCCGTTTCCACCACCAGGAGCGCCGTAGCTACTCGAAGGACGTCCGCCATTTCCGTTTCCGCCACCAGGAGCGCCATAGGAGTCCGAGGGCTTGCCACCGAAACCACCTTGTCCCTGACCCTGTCCCTGTCCTGGCAGTCCTGGAGCTCCGTAGCTGTCCGAGGGTCGTCCACCGTTGCCGCCATTGCCGCCGCCAGGAGCTCCGTACGAGTCCGACGGCCTGCCGCCCGGACCACTCTGACCCGGGGCTCCGTAGCTGTCGGAGGGAGGTAGATACGAGTTGACTGGTGGCTCCGGTCGTCCCAGGACCACCACTGCCATGAGCAGCGTCAAACCGAGTAACTTGAACATGGTATTATTATCCACTTGGAGCTGCGGCTACGGCTGATCTCACTGACTGCTGATCGGAATCGGAATCTCTGAGGCTGGGATGAGGCTAGCGCTTGGAAGCAGCGCCGAATTCTGACTGATCTGTAGCTGCTGCCGCATGGCGTATTTATATGTGGCAAACCGAAACCGAAACTGAGGCTGAAAACTGAAAACTGAAAGTCTAGGATGCACACACACGAACTCGATTATGAGTTGGAGGTGGTTTTTGGAGCGTGTGGCAACCGGCACAACAGCTGCTGCTGCTGCTGATGCTGCTGCTGCTGCCACATACGATCGTCTTCGGAGAAGCGGTGGCTGATTCTATGCGGTTCAAAGCAAAAATCTCAATCACCCAGCTTGCTCCACTCCACAAAAGCACTCCTCATCGCCCCCCGATCTCCGCCAGGTGGCACGTGAAGGGTGCCTGGGTTTCGGTCTCTCGGTCTCTCGGCTGATTTGCCTTCTTCTTGGGCCCCAAAAACCTTTTGGATCACCAGTTGCGTTGGCCCAAAGTAGTCTACTCGGTCTCCTCCGCCGGGTGAATGTGTCGGCGGCGTCTGCCGCGGCTCACTCTCCCAAGCGAGTGGTTCAGTGACAAGCGCCGAAGTTTGCATTTGTTTGCCTTGTCTTGTCAGAGCGAATGAAAATAATAAAAAGCCCAGCGACATATTGAAGAAGATCGTGCCAACGGCGACCCCAATTGGGAGTACAATCAGCAGATGCGTCTGATGGGTGTAGAAGGGTCGAGTCGATAGGATCGGAGATTGTGGCAACGCAGATTGGAGAATCAATTGGAAAAGAGGGGTATGTAGATGATCTGTACCTTGGATCCCGAGAGACTGATTGAATTGATATTGATTATATTCAAAATGCAGATCACTAGATCTATGAAGCTAGGTGCTAGCCAACTGACAGCTCAATTAGACTTTATATCTTGAAAGGAAGCATAAAAGATCGTTTCAGATTTGGATATGGGATTGTTGCGGTGGAGCCAACATTTTTGAGATCAAGGAATCAAGTGATTAATTAATAATTGATTCATGCTATTCAATTCTATTCGGAATGCGTCGACGGGCTTTCAAATTTATTTCGAATGAATGAATTATTTTTAAATTTTATGAATTTGTCAGAATTTATTTTCGAAAAATTTAAAATCGAAAAATTAAAAAAAACCAATGCTAATGCATAGTGTATACAATTCAGGTAGATTGAAACACTAAATTATGATCGTTTTTCATACGAATGGGAATGCCGTTTGAACTATTTTGGTATTTATGCTATTCAGCTAAGGGGCTGTCCATATATTACGTAATCACCTAGGGGGGGGAGGGGGTCATTGAAATGATTATGTTTGATTACATGGGGAGGGGGGGTCTTGTACAATGATTACGTAATCATTTTATATGAACTTTTTTATTTAAAGAATTTATTTAAAAACTTTTTCCTTTAATTATATCTACAAACTTAGATAGGAAAGCAGGGAAAAAATTTTTGTAGTGGCTGGGCGGCGAAAAAGAGAATGTTTAGTGGTTGAATCACACGAAGGACGCGAAGACCTGGAATGGCTTGACGAAGAGTATGTTGGAGATAATATCAGCGTAGACGAACCATACCAAACTTCATTTATAAACAATATTAAAGATTGGGTTGCATCTCCGTTTGAATCCACAGATTAAAACAAAAAAATTTTATTCTTGGGATTACGTAATCATTGGGGGGGGGGTGTTTATTGAATGATTACGTTTGATCACCAGGGGGGGGAGGGGGTCAAAAATCACCAAAAACGTGATTACGTAATATATGGACAGCCCCTAACTTCAAATTTAAATTCATTCATTCACAGAAAACAAACAAATTTAAAATAATTAATTGAATAAATTCATGCAATAACTGATATACATAAAGTATGTAAAAGCAATACCACAAATTAAATAAATATTTTACCTAAGAGAACTGGGTAATTTGTTTCACCAAAGACATTAAAATTTGGCTATACCCATTGTGCCTACTTCCAGCCATTCATTGATTCAGTTATTCACCCCTTCCAAATCGGAACTCCAGCCCACACAAAGGGATTCCCGAACTTATGGGAAATTAATTGCGCTGAGTTTTCGCAGTCCGCCCACCTTGTTAACTTGGCCAAGTCAGTTGGCAGTAGCGCCATTCGCGGATCACAGATCACAGCCTTCGGCGGCAAATGGGAACGTGCAGAATTAATTGCCCCACTACGTGCTTGGTCATGGGAGTTGGAAGTTGTCGGCTCGACATCCTGCTTACAGCCATACGTGCGGGTCAAAAAACGATAGATGAAGATTAAGATCTTGGCCATAACACGTCGACAGTTTAAAATAACTCACTGGCTTAGTAGCTTATCTTCATTATAATTTCGGCATGACTTAAATATATACAGCTCTTACATATAAAGACGCCTATAGCGCCTTAAAACCTCCTGGAAGAGCCATGTGTGTATCAAATAGATGGCCAGGCACACTAAGCAGCAATCGTAAAAGACAAAAAGCAGCAGGAAGCCCAGATAAACGCAGAGGAACAGTGTCAAAGTGCATATTATCAATTGGGCCAAGCACAGCCACTGATGCTGAAAAAACGCTAAAAAATAAAATGATCAACATTATTTCTTGATGCTTAAAATATATACTTACAGCTCAAAAAGTAGAGAACATAAAATACAATTCCTATGGCTCCGTTGGGAGAATTTAGTTTCGTTATTTTACCAAGTCCAAAGCCTTCACCATAGCTGAGATTTACGTAAAATTCCATTATAAAATTCAAAATTGCCTTAAAAACATTCTAGCGTACACTGATTTGAAGACTATCGAGCAACTTATGTTCTCATTCACATCGCACATCGGCCTGTAGTTCTTATCCTCCTCCAGTTTCACTTTCACGTACAGTGAATACACCGAGATGACCACTCCACAGGCGCAAATCCATCGCAAGCGGGAGGTTGTACTGTTCGCCTGTTCCATTGCGTTGCTGTTTGGATAATGAGCTCATTGCCACAGGATTGCAACTCACTATCAGTTGGTCCAACAAAAGATTCCAGGCCCACGCCATCGATTTGAGAACTTTCTTGGCAGCTGCGCAATGGGAAAAGAGCTGGAAACTTTTTTACACTTATTGAAGGTATGTAAGATTTTCAGACAGTCCCCCAATTCATTCTTGTTAATATCAGAAAAACATTTGGATTTAATTCCACAAATTATAATTTTTATTATTTTAAATATTTTTAATTTTTAATATTTATTTCCACAATGCAATTTGAATCATGTTAAAAATACAAAAAACAGTTTAAATTAACTGTTGTTCAGTTTTCTAGGTAATTCCTTGTCACTAGAGTATTTCCTTAGTTTGTTAGGGTATTTAAGGCCGCGACCCTCTTTGATAATATTGCCTTCTTGTTTTCTCAGTCGGGTTCGCATAAATTCCCGTTCTCGTTTAATTTGATATGACACGAGAGTCAACGCAACAGGTAATATAAATAAACTACGTAAATAAACCGGGGTAGGTGACCAAGGCGAGATATTAAAGTGGCTTTACCACCGCGGAAGGAAAGGCCCCTTACCCTGGGAACAATCACCTCTAGGCCATCGAACGTGCATGCATCTGCGGCAAAGGCAAAAAACATCGCATTAGGCCACGCTCCATTGCATGCATATGAAATTAGCGACTGCGGCGACATCAGCCAAGTCCCAGACGACCAAGAGACATCTCAACCCGTCCAAATCAGACTACAAGCTCATGAAGCCGCGACTCTCGGCATGACACAATGATGCCTCCATCGCCATCTCCATCTTTAGCCCCCACCCACTCGCCATGCTGTGCTCCATGTCCCTTTTTAATTTATAGCCTCACGAATTTGAATTCATCTGTGTTGTTCGGGTGTTTAATAAAAAATAAATAACCTAAAAATAACAGGCCCATCCGAAGTGATATAAAAATCAACGTTAGCCATGAGGTAACCAAATGGAAACAATTTACAAAATTGCAGTAGCTCTGCCCCCAGGAGTGAATTGAAGTGATGAATTTACGCAACCTTGGAGTCGGTATTCTGCCATAAAAAGAAAAAACATCAAAACAGTCACCGCAGCCAGCGACTTGGCACAGATATCCATTTGATATGGAAAACCCTTTCAAACGGCTGTCAACTCGATTCTGACTCAAACCCCAGCCTCACCTGGCCGATCGCGTAATAATATGCTACTGGAAATGGCCCAGGGGCCTTATTGAGCTTTACAATTTCAAAGCTAAATGCAAAAAGTAAGCACAATATCAATCTATACCCATTATATGTATAATATTTAAATTATTTATTATATGTACCTTTTAAACCGATTCATTCAGGTCTGACTTAATGTGGGTTAAAGTATGGTGGGGAAAGAAAACAATAAGATGTTCATATATAGTTACTTCTCTCGAAAGATTTCCTGGGGATAACGTAAGCATCAATCCGAAGATATAGAAGGACAATTACACCAGTTTACAAAATAAAATCCACTACTTCCTCATCAAAGACAACCTTGGAGTTTCGTTAAAGTACATCTCCCTATTTAAGAAATGGGCACTTAAACATTTTTTGAATGATGTCAATTTTATTTAAAACGGTTTTGGGCCTTTTTATTTTCTATTCCGAGTGCTGATAACCCGAGTTCGGTCATGGAAGACTCCTTTAACTTCCTTATACACTTTGATGAATTCCAGTCATTAGTTTAAAAGCTACACCTCGTCAAAGTTTAATAAGTTGGAAAATATTCAAAAACGGTGAAATAAATTGCTCCTATAAAAATACGAAGAAACAAATTTAGTTTTACCACTTCTACTTCCGAAATGAAATCCAAATTTCCAGCCCCGATCCACAGATGATCGCAGATCTTAAGATGCGTTTAGAAGGGCTAATGCCAAATGTTTGCAGGTGTTTCTCCTCAAGCACGCGCTGCGCTGCTTGCCACCAACAAGTTTTGGTACACCCAAAAAAAATAGTCCTAGAAACGAAACTATTGTTAAATGAATTCTACACTATTGAGTGCCAAATTTGCATCAATAAGATAAGTATCAAATAAATACTTTCAAAATATAAAGTTTATAATATTTCATATGAAGTTAATACTTCTGCTTATAGAATTTGCATTATTTAGTATTAGGTCAATATTACTTTTTTATAGTAGTATATTTTTAATACAACGCTTATAGAGTTAACATTTTAGATTTGTTAATACTTTGTAGTTTCATTTCTATACCGAGAGTTTAATTTTGATACTTTTAAAAGAATTCATTATACCCGTTACTCGTAGAGTAAAAGGGTATATTAGATTCGTGCAAAAGTATGTAACAGGTAGAAGGAAGCGTTTCCGACCCTATAAACTATATATATTCTTGATCGGGATCGCTAGCCGAGTCGATCTAGCCATGTCCGTCTGTCCGTCTGTCTGTCTGTCTGTCTGTCTGTCTGTCTGTCTGTCTGTATGAACGCTGAGATCTCGGAAACTATAAAAGCTAGAAGATTGACATTTTGCATGCAGATTCTAGGAGTTCCTACGCAGCGCAAGTTTGTTTCAAAAGGGTGCCACGCCCCCTCTAACGCCCACAATCGCATATATACGATTTTAAAAATTTCAATATTTTGGAAAAGTAAAAATGCAGTTTTATTGTGTTTATCAATACCTATCGAAATGTAGAAGAAATTTTTTAAATCGGACCATTCGTTAAAAAGTTACGGCGGATCAAAGTTTTTCTCCATCTCTTTCGCACTCCCTTTAGCTGAGTAACGGGTATCTGATAGTCGGGGCACCCGACTATAGCGTTCTCTCTTGTTTAATACTCATCTTATTGATGCAAATTTGACACTCAATAGTGTATAATTCATGTAAGAATAGTTTCGTTTCTATCACTATTTTTTTTTTGTGTATGCTTCAACAAAAGCTTTTTATGCCTCAAGGGCAGCTGACTGCGAAATGACGGAGCTTGACAATTATGATTACGATTACGAAGGTGAACGCTTCGAGAGCGGGAACTTGGTATTGTTGTCGGCAACTCTGGTGGCTCGATGCACGTGCAACTGGAAGGAAGTTAAGGTAATTGCGTGGTTTTTCATTCTCGATGAGATGTGGCAATCGCACACATTTGTATGCGTCAATTGGCTTAATTCGTAATCAATTAGAATCTTATTGCAGCATAAACGAATGCTAATGTCTTCAAATATATTGGTGAGATCCCAATCACTGGCAAAGTATCCGTCCAGTGATAAGGGGAATAGAAACTATATATGTAGTTAGATTCACCAATAAAATAGTTAAATGTTTCCAACGTAGTGATAATAGGAATTTTTGCTTGTGAGCGTGGTTAAACTTTTTAATGATTCTAGACAGCTTCAAACGGTAGGTGCAGAACAAGATATTTCAATAAGATTGCAATTTCTGCTTAAATTGTTACTTGAAATATTTAAAAAAATGTTGTATAAAATTATAAAATTTGGCTCTAAAAAATGGATTTCACATAATGGATTACTCATCAGAAATAATCTTAAATGTTATTAATTAAATTCAATTTTTGAGCAAGTTACTGGGGCTATCTGTGCAAGGCGGTGAAGAGAGAAGCTAGTTGGCTTTATTAACTGCACTAGATTCCTCGCGCTGGTTCTTGGCAAACTCCAAAAAGATCTCCTCCAGAGTGGTCTGGCTGACCGAGTAGTCCTCCACATTCAGCTGCTGGCGATTCCTCTCCATCGTTCCAAAGATGCGTGACCATTTCACCGCAGTCAATGGAATGTAAAAGGTTAACAGACCCACGGTATCATCCCTTGTTGAAACATTATTATTAAATTAATATAATTTAAACCTCGTAATAAAGAAAATATCAAGTCCTTACCGGAGAATGGAGTCAGGATACTTTTCTCTTACAAACGCCTTGACGGCAAAGATATCTCTTTCCCTCCGACCCAGGTCCTTCAGGTCACGTCGCAGCTTGATCTTGAGGATCAGTCCCTTGGAGAACTTGTTCTTTAGGTGCTGCGTCGATCCGAGGCACTTGAACTCTCCATTCACCATAATGGCCAGTCGGGTGCACAGGGCCTCACACTCCTCCATGCTGTGGGAGGTCAGGACGATGGATTTTCCAGACTCCCGGATGCGGCTGACCACATTCCATAGCTGTCGCCTGGCCGCTGGATCCATGCCGGATGTGGGCTCATCTAGGTAAATCACGGACGGACTGCCGATCAATGCGATGGCCGTGCTCAGCTTTCGCTTATTTCCTCCACTAAAGGCTTCTGTCCGTTTGTCTAAGTGCTTCACGAACCCGAAAGATTTGGCCAGATCCTCGATAACTCGCCTAATGTCCTCCCCGGGAACTCCGCAAAGCAGGCAGAAAACTCGCAGCACCTCGCGACCCGTCAGTCCTGTCGGCAATGCATCGAACTGCGGACAGTAGCCGATCAACTTGTATATCCCGCTCATGTTCCAGCCCAGGATCTGACCTTGGACGTACGCGGCTCCCGAGCTGATCCACTCTTCGCCGGTCATCATCTTGAAAGTGGTCGTTTTTCCGGCTCCATTCACACCAAGCAGGCCAAAGCATTCGGTTCTGCGAAAGGTGGGATTATAAGCCCGAATTATTTTGAAAATCTTCAATAATACTAAGGAATATCTGAACTTACTCCCTTACACAGAGCGAAACCTGATCAACGGCTCGAAACTGACCGTAGTTCTTGGTGACCCGATCCAGCACCAGATTCTTGGAGGCCCTCTCATCGGCAGTCATGTGAAGGATGAGCTTACCCTCCTGATCCACGTCGTCATCTACGTAGCTATCGGTCGATGGGGAATACATTTTACTACCCAAAAAAACAGTAATAGGTAAGACGTAAATATATTAACCAGAAGACAGAAGTACTCACGTTAGCTTTTGACGAATCTTGAGCATTAGCACCGGGATCACTCGGAACTCCATCAGGAAGAGAATGAGGAAGAAGAAAATTCCGGTAGCGGTCATGCTGATCAACTGGTATGATATACCACCATAAGGATTCCAGGAAAAGTAGGAAACTAAGAATTGGAATAAATTATTATTAATAAATTATCATATCATACCAATTTGTAAAAAATACGGTGCATTAAAGCAATTCGAGGAAAGCAATATGGCTTCTGACTAATGTTTGGCTTGCGCAATGTCTTGCCGATATGTAAAATAAATTTTGTTTTCTAAATTTCTGTGCTTCCAAAAACATATGGATTGTTTAACATTTGTTTATACGTAATGAATAATAAAACGGTTCTAAATGGGTGACAAAAGTACTCACTGCAGCATTCCGGCTTCGTATCGCAGAGCTCGGTATGTGTAACTCCTTGAGCGCATATAGCTCTTTTGAAAAAGTTTATGTTAATATTTGCCAACCCCATGCCAAGCCCGAACTGCGGGAAAATATGGAAGATCCAATACAAGTAACTAGAAGTTTCTAACGATTGATTTTTGACAGAAACTATTAAAAACGCAATAACCAGTAAAAATCCAAAAAATATATTGACCCTGGCTGCACGAGAAAATCCAGTGACTGGTTCCCTAATGAACAAACCCATTGTGTAGATGAAGGGCAACACGGAAAATCCATAGAACAGCAGCAGAACGAAAAAGCAGCCCAGTTCGCTGAAACCCATACCCGGCACCTGGATAATAATAATCGTAATAATCACGATCGTGGCCATCACAAAGTTGGTGGCCAAGTCGCAAACAAACTGCGATATCCAGAAGATCCACAATTTTACGCCACCGACAAATTGCAGCAACTTGGCCCTGGACCCACGCTCCCTTATCGGGAATAGAATATACATCGCGCTCACGAAGCACGTGCTGAGGTACAAGTATATGGAGACTGAAACGACCATTCTTAGTGATATGATATACTCCAGAGAATCGTGTGGTGGAGGGTAGTATAGTGGTGCATTGGTGACCCCGATCTGCACCTGTGGACCCACAAGTGCCTTGGCCATAGCGTTGTGCACCATGTTAAGGGTTAATGGAGCTGCGTGATAGGCCTGGTTGTTCAGCCAGGCAATTATTTTCGAGTTGGAAAAAGAGGCGCCCACCAGATAATGCGGGTTAATCCCCGTTTGCCTCGTTCCTTCGACCTTAATGACGTAGTTCTGCAAACGGATATTATAGCATGGAGTGTACAGTAAATTAAGCTAACTAACCTCAAAGTCTTCCTTGCCAGTCAGTTCCAGTTTGTAATCATCTCCATACGATTTCACCAGGTCAGAGTATTTTTGTGCAATTTCGTGACCTTGCGATTTATTACTTTCTTCTGAGAGATCTAGAACTGTCACAGCTGAGGGATACTGAGTTATCGAAAAAGTCATCGTCCTCAGATCGTCCGTCAATACTACGCTTAAATAGCTTATGACCAAAAATAACACTGGAGTTACGTTTAGTACGAATAGGAACAACTTGTTTCGCCAAGTGTACAGGAGCTTCTTGAGCAACATGGCCTTCCATTGATTCAAGTAGAGCTGCAGTCCCTGGAGCTTGCGTCTATTATCCGAGAAAGTTCCGAGGGCTGAAAGAAGAAAATGGATCATAGGGAGCCAAATCACGGAACCAATCCCTACTTACACTCTAAAGATTTGTAGTCATCTCCATTAATGCTATCGCTTTGTTCCGTCACTTTAGCAGTGCTGTCCTGTTCGGCACCGACCTTCATGAACACCTCCTCCAGCGAGGTGATGCTTACGCCATAGCCATTAAGATGCAGGTCATCGGATCTTTCCTCCAGCTCGTTGAACAACTCCTCGAATTTGAGAGAGTATCGATCCGGAAGTTGGTAAGACAACTCGGCACCGATATCTAACACCGGCTGCAGACCCGGAATGTACCTGTTCAGTAGGGCAGTCACCTTGTCCGTTCGACAGTCATCGTCCTTAACACAGATCTGGAGGGAGTGTATGAATAATAACCATACACTATATACCATATAACCTATCTCCACTCACCAATCGGTACCCCGATCCATATTGTTTTTTCAAAAAGAAGGTGGTCCCAAGGCACTGGAGTTTGCCGTCACACATGATAGCAATGCGATCGCCCAGCACATCGGCCTCGTCCATGAAGTGGGTGGTCAGCAGCAGGGTGCGCCCGACCTTCTCCTTCTGGAGGAGATCCCACAACTGCCGCCTGGCCGCTGGATCCATTCCGGAGCTGGGCTCATCGCACAGCACCACCTTCGTGCCGCCACAAAGGGCACAGCAGACGGAGAGCTTGCGCTTCATTCCGCCCGAGAGTTTCGATGCCGGCACATTCGCCTTGTCCTCCAGCTGGATCATCTTCAGATACTTGGCCACCTCCGCCTCGACTTCCTCACCTCGGAGTCCCTTTATCCTACTGAAGAATCGGATGTGATTCGATACACTCATGCCATTAAAGAGCACATTGTTTTGCGGACAGATGCCCATAGACATGCGAGCTTCTTCCGTATGGGTTGTGATGTCATAGCCATTTATGATCGCTGCGCCGCTCGTCGGCGGAATCATCCCGGTTAGCATCGATATGGTGGTGGTCTTGCCGGCTCCATTGTGGCCCAGTAGTACCGTTATTTCATCCTTGAACATATTCATGGTCAAGCCCTTCACCACAGTCTTATCGGCAAAACGCTTTCTAAGGTCTTTTATCTGAAGTCCGATTTGTTTGCCTTCCAGTTCCTTTTCAAAAGCCTTTGGGTCCAATTGATCCATCTGAACGAACTCCGAATCGTTTTCTATTTTGGTACTTTTGATACCCCAAAACTCCCTGGTAAAAGGGAAGTTCCAAACGCCGCGGGACTCCAAAATCACCGGGCCTTACTTGTTCAACATACAAGCAAATTATCATGTAGATGACACTGGAAGTCATCATCATCATGATCACGGCGCCCACGGTCAAAGAATCGCCATCGGATGCGGGAGTAAAGAGGCTACTCCACTGCAAACCATCGCCGACTTCCTCGAAGTTTACGATCAGCTTGAATCCCAAGCCAACGGCCGTGTTAGGGATCAAGCTCCAGCCTAACTTGGAGGACAAACTGACGTCAAAGGTAAAAGAATAGGGGATATGGGCTATTAGCAAGGTCAATGCCGTTACAGTGGATGCCGTACTGGCCTTCGAGAATAGAGAGGCCGTCATAAAGCAGAAGCAGATGCTGGCAATGATGTATGATATCAGGAAAAAGAGCAGGACCGTAAAGCTAGTATTCTCTAGCACAGACCCATATTTCGTATCCACCTTGAGTGCTGTGGCAATCAATATGGCGGAAAAAGTCAGCTGTATAATGGACTTTACAAACCAAGCAGCCCAGTGAAGCCAGTTTCTCAGTCCCATGATCTTCATAACCTCCTTCAGCTGTTTCTCCTTCTCGGCGGCGATAAACTGCAAGTGAAGACAAGACCGCGATTTGAAAAGAGGGGAAAAACATTCCGGTATAAGGAAGGAGCGAAAAAGCTTAGTATTATCAATAACGGCAATAAGGTGGCCAAATAAAAGTGAAAGGAATCTTCTTTGTAGGCGGGATATGGATAGTGTTGTATCGTAACATTCGGAAGTTTAGATCTTCCCGACTTTTGCCGTATATAGGCCAACGAAAGTTCCTGTTTCAAGGCCAGGAAACCCTCTTTTAAATATCCCGGATAATCATGGTTTTGTTGGCCCCTGATACCAATTGACGGAAACAAGTTTCTGGTTTGCCAGGTATCTACTTTAAAATCCGGTACCTTTAATCGTAACTTTGATGGAAATCGTAGCGCAAAGTAAAAATCATCAGGAATTTGGTCCGTGAGATTGGCCCAAGCGTCATTGAACTGAATGCCGGCGAAGGCTCTCCTTTGAACGACATCCAATTCCAGTTGGGCTGCATTTTTAGAAACGTAATATTTGCCGATGTCAAAGTCTTGGAATTCTTGTTTCCAGTTCTGCAAAGCGTTGTTCACCAGTTTGTCAAGGATGGCATTCGACGGCGAATAGCACACGGTGAAGTTGCTTTTCCAGCTTTGCAAATAATAGTTAAACAAAAATGATTCCGATTTAGTTAGGATACTTAGATAAAAGCACATATCGCTCATTTACTAAAAGAGCCGATAAAGACTTATTTTGAGTTATTAGGTTAAGGGGGAGATATGTAATACATATTATGTATGTACCTACATTGTAAAATGTACATTCGATTTTTATACCCTTGCAGAGGGTATTATAATTTCTGTCAGATGTTTCCAACGGAGTGAAGAAGAAGTTTCCGACCACATAAAGTATTTATGTTCTTGATCAGCACCACTAGACGAGATCTAGCCGTGTCTGTCTGTCTATTTCTATGCGAACTAGTGTCTCAGCTTTAAAGCTATCACGATGAAACTTTCTCAAAAGACTTATTTCTATTGCAGGTACACTCATAAAAATAATTTTCTACATTCTAGAAAATCGCCCTAAAAATATGTTCGCCCTTGAACTGAGAAAAATGTTCTATTTTCACGACAAATTTGCCATAAATTCAAAATCTTTTTAGGGTTAATTTGTCTATTTTTTGACCTTTTCTAAATCCAACGGCAAATTGCCCTAATTATACAAGTTACTCGTAGAGTAAAAGGGTATATTGTATTCGTGCAAAAGTATGTAATAGAAGGAAGCGTTCCCGACCCTGTAAAGTATATATATTCTTGATCAGGCCGAGTCGATATAGCCATGTCCGTCTGTCCGTCCGTATGAACGCTGAGTTCTCGGAAACTACAAAAGCTAGAAGGTTGAGATTTTCCACACATATTCTTCGGCTTCCTACGTAGCGCAAGTTTATTTCAGTTTTCTAGAATTTGTTTCTCTCTTAAAAAATCCTAAAATTATTCGAAGTAAGGGGTTTGAAAGATAAAGAGTGTGTCTTTTAAAAAACTTTAGCGTCAGAACAAACCATGAATCCGTTTGCCACTGAGACGTCCGAAAAGTTGGCCAATTTCAGCATTATTCGAACTTTGGGGACCTTGTGCTAAGAATCCTTGCGTCGGGGAACTTTTATGGAAAACGCAGTTTAACTTGGGAATTCGTAACGAAAAATATATATATCCATCGAGGTACATTTAAAAAGCATTAATTTTGTTGAACAATGTAATATAATATATAATAATATTAAATAATAATATATAATAATATTATTAATTTTTTTATCTCTTTCCACTTATTATTTATCACTACTTTTAAAGATAAGCTCCGTTTTGGAAATTCAGCAGTACTTGAGACTCGTTTTAGAAAAATATTATTAACAAGAAAGGAAGCTACCTTCGGCCAGCCGAAGCTTATATACCCTTGCAGATAAAGTAATACTCACTCCGTGCAGATCTAGGGATTCCAGATTCAGTGTTCCTATTTTTGAATTTTGTTTTTAAGTAGTCAAGAATTAAAACGAATACTTCCTACAAATTAACAATAATTTTCTTATATATGTTTGAATTTTCCTATGGGAGCTATAAGATATAGTGGTCCGATCCGGCTCGCTCCGACATATGTACTACCTGCAATAGAAAGAAGACTTTCGGGAAAGTTTCATCGCGATAGCTTTAAAACTGAGAGACTAGTTCGCATAGAAACGGACAGACGAACAGACGGACAGACGGACAGACGGACATGGCTAGATAGACTCGGCTATTGGTGCTGATCAAGAATATATATACTTTATGTGGTCGGAAACGTCTCCTTCACTGCGTTGCAAACATCTGACTGAAATTATAATACCCTCTACAAGGGTATAAAAATGTATTAGTGATTTAAAATGTTAAAAAAAGTTTTCCCCAAAACTTTGGGAACTGTTTTACTATTAATTTAACCAATCAATTGGTTTTGTGTGTAGCACTAAGCATGGGAAAAACGCTGGTATTAAAGTCATGGCAAAACTCACCTTACGAAATTAAGATCATATATATTCCGCTCCGAATAATTGGTGAAATCCTTTTGAGCAGGTTTTATCTCAGTACGTATACGAATAAGGACCAGAAAGAATATGACTGGCAGTGCCACCTCTACGACAGTTCGAATTTTGCAGTTCCATTGGAGGATCCAATTCTTCCATAGTATTATGACGAATTTGTCCCAGTTTGTGACTTTTGCCATTTAAGCTATAACCGAAATTAAATGGATCACTTTAGTCGAATACCTCTACAATATAACTCCGTTAAACGTCAAATGAAATTCTAAAATTATGTTCTAAAAAACTTATTTTCTTTGTATATTCATTAAATCGCTTACTGAACTTAATAGGGGAGTGTAGGGTAATTTGACGAGTAGGGTAATGTGACGAACTCGTCGAATCTCATATATGACGTCACGACAAAAATTCCAAATAAATGTAGTCGTCTCCCCTTATCGTGTCGACAATGTATTTACAGTAATATTAATAAGAAGTCCAGTAATTTGTTCGTGAGGTAATTTTCGCTAAAAATGTGGTGCGCAAACTAGCAAACCCATTCAGTTTACTTGTGTTTCAGCAGTGCCAGAGCAAAGATGAGTGGAAAATAAAATCAGGCAAATATATGCACGTATACATGAGATCTTTATCAACAGTTTTTGGTACCTCGCGTTTTTTTCTTTTGCGCCGTTTGAGAGTGACACCGTTTTTGCTCCAAGTCTACCTTGTAGGGTATCGTGACGAACTTTTTGTAGGGTATTGTGACGAACTTTTTTTATTCAAGAATTTTAACTGTTATCGTTGATTATTTGTAAAAAAAATATAATAATACCAGATAACATTTACTGCTGCAGTTTTATTGTTGTTTTTAATAGTGACGTCAGTTTAATTTAATTAAAAAAAAAATTTGCACTTTGACCATTTTTTTTTTTTGTAAGTTTGGGTATTATCTTATTACTTTTTTCTTTTCCGTATCGAAAAAACCCTTTCCGTAAATAATATATAAAACAAGAAAGAAAGCTAGCTTCGGCAAGCCGAAGCTTATATACCCTTGCAGATCATTCTATTAATTTACAAATCGCAAAAATGTTAAATTTCTTATTATTTCACATTAATTTTTCCATTGTTTCTATCACAGCTATATGATATAGTAGTCCGATCTTTTAAAAATTAAAATCGAAATTCGAAAATATTTCAAAATAGTCATATCCCAGAGTAGAACGGAATGTAATAAAAACCAACAAAGATATAATTTTTTTCCCATTAATTTTCATTTAATTTTTCGACCGTTCCTATGGCAGCTATATGATATAGTGATCCGATTTAAAAAACAAAAAAACCGAAATTCAGAAATATATAAAAAAAAATATTCCCAAGAGTAGAAGGTAAAATTTAAAAAAACACCGGAGCTAGAATTTTTTTACGTTTTTTTTTTGTTCCTTCCTATGGGAGCTATAAGATATAGTTGTCTGATCCGGTTGGTTCCGACATATATACTACCTGCAATAGAAATACGACTTTTACGAAAGTTTCATCCCGATAGCTTTAAAACTGAGAGACTAGTTTGCGTAGAAACGGACGGACAGACGGACGGACAGACGGACAGACGGAGAGACGGACATGGCTAGATCGACTCGTCTTGTGATGCTGATCAAGAATATATATACTTTATGGGGTCGGAAATGTCTCCTTCACTGCGTTGCAAACTTCTGACTGAAATCATAATACCCTCTGCAAGGGTATAAAAATGTATTTTTTTTTGTAAAAAGGATGGTTTACACCAAACGCTGTGGGATTTGGCTACGTTGAAATTTCGAATCCAAATTTTTTTAGAAATATGCTCAGTAAATGTAAGCAACTTTCTGCTTTTACACTTTTAAAAAATATTGATTTTTGGAGAAGTTACATTAAAGAACAAATCGTTCGACACATTACCCTACAACTTTTGAAAGTGCAAAAAAAGTAGGGTTCACGCCAAACGCTGTGGGATTTAGCTGCATTGGAATTTCGAATTTTACAGGGATATGCTCAGTAGATGTAAGCAACTTTCTGCGTTTACACTTTTAAAAAATATTGATTTTTACAAAAGTTACATTCAAAAAACGAATCGTTCGTCACCTTACCCTACACTCCCCTAGTTATTTATAAATTCATACACACAAAAAAAAAATGTCAATTTTGTCAATTTTTTGCCTTTGCTAATTGTGTGTATTTGTTGTTGTGAAAGTAATTATTTAATTAGTAGAATTGACCATATTTTTGTGGTTGGGGACTGTTTGTCAATTATAACAATTGATTTTACCAAGTTTTTTTTGTGAGTAAAACTAATCAAATAAAAAACCCTCTTTTCACAAAAATTTTTACTTCTGCACTCTTGTGCGGTCAATATCAAACTGCAGAAAAAGAAGTAAAGCTTAGCTTATTACAAAATCCATTCAGTGCTAACAAAAATGTGACACATTCCAGATTTCCCAATTTTTTAAAAGCAACGCTGCTTGTACACGAAAAAAAATTGATTAATATTTAATATTAAAATGGTCCCAAGCCATCGAACAGTAGATTTTTTATTAATGTTTGTTTAATAAATACTCTTACGTAATTCATAAATGTAAAGGCTACTATAGGAAATTTTTTTTTGTGTATATATATAAAAAATAATATTTTTAGTGCTTTAATTTCAGTTCGACACTACAATTTTAAAATCGGAAAGCTTATCTGTTTTTAAAATATCGAGATCAAAAAGTAAATATATAATTTATACATACATTAAACAGATCTTATTTATATAATATTCTCAGTGCAAAGATAAACAAACCGGTAGAAGGTTCGTAAAACAACATTCTTTTTATGTGATTAAAAATAAATTCTTATCCACACATGAGCAAATTTACTTTTGATAAATACAACTTACGCCCGGAGTTTACATTTTTTCAAGATTTCAACAACGTGATTAGAGCCGAGTGGTAAAGGGAGAACGCTTAAGTCGGGTCAGCTAAAGGAAGTGCGAGGGAGATGGAGATATAAAACTGTGATCACGCATAACTTTTAAACGAATACACTATGGGGAAAAAGACAGTTTTTTTTGGCATAAACGTAAAAAGTTAATATAAATAAAAATAAAAGCAAAAGTTACTAATGCCCGTTTCTGCTCCTTTTAAAAAAACAGCACAAAATTTTTAATTTTTTGGCTTTTTCTTCAGAGGCTTAAGGTGGAGGATAATAAAAAATTTTATTTATCTTATCTTATATTTGTTTTCTAAATAAATATGTTTTCTATTAATAAAAAAAAATATTCTGAACATTTTTACGGGGTTGACCATAATGGGTAGGTGGTGGGTGGGTGTGTGGTGTTTTGGGTGATTTTACAATCGTACAAAACTGAAATTTTATTTGTGCACAGGGAGTATATATTATAATTTTCAAGGCCCTATCTTTAAAACTGGTGTTTATGCCAACAAAACGGACTTTTTCCCCATAGTGGAATGGTCCGGTTTGAAAAATTTCTTTTACATTTATAGAAATTTATAGGAAATTCACAACTTGGTCTAGCCCAACATGAACTTTTTGAAAAGGTAATTGGACCATTACCTGTTTAATATTACTTATAAATTACTATGCTGCAGTGAAAAACCTATGAATTGTTTATTCAATTTTTAAAATTTGTATGATGTACCTCAGGGAATGAAGTATATGTGCACTTTTTAATTTGCTTATATTTTCTCTAAAGTTAACGGTACAGTTTGTGTACACTCAGAAAAAAAAAACCAAGCACATTGGGCTTGTTTCAAGCCCAAACGGTCATAAAAGGGCGACAGGTACGAAATGGGCCTATTTTTTAATTTCAAGAACGTTTTATTCTTAAACCGGCATTCTTAATTTGAGAACGTTTTCGGGCGTAATTAAGTATGAAATGTTCTTGAACCCAGAATTAAATATACTTAAATTAAGTATAAATTCTACTTAAACAATGTAAAAATTATAAAAAATAAAAAATTGGTGTGTCCAGCCATAGAGTAAGAAACTATATAGAGGTTTGTGCTGGGTAAAAACTGCACATTTGGGTGAACATGTTCACTTGTTCTTTTTTCCCAATCAGTCAACTCACTCAGTTGCTCACTTGTTCACTTGCTCACTTGTTTTGTCCTTAAATTTTTACACTGGCTCTGAGAAAACAGCTCATTGTCTGTAAATCCGTATAAAAAAGGCAAACCTTGAAGTAAAAAAAAATACTTTTTGTGCCAAAAAAAAGCAAGAGAGCAACTGAGCAAGTGAACTAAAAAGAACACTCATAAAAATAGTTTTCTACATTTAAGAAAATCGTAATAAAAAAATTTTTGCCTCTGAACTGAGAAAAATTTTCTATTTTCACGACAAATTTGCCATAAATTCAAGACAGGTGACCATAAAAAAATCTTTTTAGGTTTTTTTTCTATTTCTATTTTCTATTTTTCTAATATTTAGGGCGATTTTTTTGATTTGCTTCGTTTTGACCTTTTCTAAATCCAACGGCGAATCTCCCTAAATTTTTCCCTACAATTTTTCTAAACACAACGGCGTTTTGCCTTAAATCTGAGGACTGCAGGTCAGCATAGAAAGAGAGAAAACAATAGAGAACGCTATAGTCGAGTGCCTCGACTATTAGATACCCGTTACTCAGCTAAACAAGAAATATGCCTTCTTATATGTTTTTCGCCGCTCGATTTTTACCCAGGCATCTTTTTCTAGAAGAGGATTTCTAGAACTTTCAATTCTGCCTAGCATATCTCCCGTCTCTCTCTAGCGCAGGTGAATGCACTTGTGAGAAACGTATACAAGCAAAAAGAGACAAAATGCGCGCCCCATTTCAAATAATTTAAAATTTGCATTAACATAATGTGAATTAGAGTGACCACAAAAAAAAAGGCAGATTTTCTCCAAAGCCATTTCCTAGATGGCGCTAGTGTATATTGTATTGCGCCAGCTACCGCCAGATATTGGTACTACTGGTCATGAAAGGCGGAAATGTAGGTGCTGGCCAGGTTTAAGCGTTTATTGGGTTTGTGGGCGTTATCATAATAGCTTAAAAACTGTGGGCGTTAGAGGGGGCTTGTGGGCGTTAGAGGGGGCGTGGCACCTTTTTGAAACAAACTTGCGCTGCGTAGGAGCTCCTAGAATCTGCATGCAAAATGCCAATCTTCTAGCTTTTATAGTTTCCGAGATCTCAGCG